GCATAATTGGTATGCTGGTAATTATTATGCTAGTGGGAGCATAACCAATTATGATAAGTTTTGCAAGTTAGTAATGTTAATTATAGAAAACAAAAGTTTTAATTTGGAAAAGTTGTTTTGCTATAATTAAGGGAGAGGAAATTATACTTCATTTCAATTCTAAAAGCTTAGATTGAGATTTTAATCATCTTTAGTCAAAGATATATATATATATATATATTATATATATATATATATATGAATTGTATGTTGGAATGGTTCAACTTAAGGAAATTCTATATATATTGCGTTCTCAAAATTCGATTATGATTACGAAATCCCTCTTCATAGTCGAATTATAAAAACATGGCAAATTAAAACTATTGTAGCAAAACACTGGTCTGGGATAATGTCTTTATGTGAGACATCATGAGTCCTGTCTGATATGCTTCGGATATAGGATCGATTACATGTGCTATAATATTTATCCTTTCTAAATTTTCCAAATGCCTAGGGCATTAACAGGGGAAAAGGTCTGGAATTGGATATGACTAAAATTGATTAAGCAATTGTCGAGGACAATCTAAGGTTTACCAAAGATTGGTTGCTCATGGACAGTTGGAAGTATGGTGTAGATTTTTGGAAAGGACCATATTGACATATTCTGAAAAGAGGCAACTCTTGTTCAGAAGTGATAGTCAAAATGGGAATGTGGAAATGTCTCCATAGGTGGAAGTTATTCAATCTGTGTAGAAAAACATAATGCAAGAAGGTTGTTCAAAGGAATGTACTTTGAATATGAGACTTCGTTTCCGTGGAATTGATCTCCATTGGAATGCTCTGTAATGTCTGTTGACATGTCTTTGTGACTTTGTGCATAATCATTATAAGAGGATCAGTGCATATAAGTTTAGAATCTAACAGATTTCGGTAATGGCAGGAATTTGGAATTCTTACATTCATGATAAGGATTTGGGATTGTGAAATGAGAATCATTGGAATTATGTTCAATTGATCTATTCCACAAAGTAAGGATCATAGAAAAACATAGTGTGCATACTTGGTGTATGGCGTAACTATTGTTTGGACAAACATAGTGTGCATGCTTGGAGCATGGCATGACTATTGTTTCAGATTCACGTATAAAGTTGATTATTCGAAACATTATACAATGAATAATAAGTAATCAATATGGTGTTTAAATAAAAGGTGTTTTATTTACTCTCAAAGGTGCTTGGGGCCATATAGGATTAATATTATTCTTGTGTTTCACTTTGCATGTTTTGACTTCCCGAATAACTTGGTTATTCAAATTCTCCACAGTTAGTCATATGTTGGAAGTAGATATGAATCAAGACTGTCATGAAGTTGGCTTGTAGATGTCTAAGGTGTTGGACATAACAAGAGTTGCTACACCATTCATGAGTGCTCCTGGAATGAGATTCGAGTTTTGGATTAAACCCACACTCATTTGAATCACTTCATGGATTTTATCACGAGTGATCATGAGACAATAATATCTTATATTCTTCAAACCTAGAGATATGATTTGTTGACTATGAGTTGGTTATACATTGATTGTACGAAACGCATCAGTAACTTGATGTTATAAAACGTACATTTGTGTATGATTCAACAAATGGTTAGTACAAACGTATGAGTCGAAGTTTATCCATTTCTTTTACCCTTGGAGGGATAAAATCGATATATGTGGGCCCCTCGATGATTTAGTGATGAAACCCCTAAGTGCTTGGCCAAGCCTGGACTGATTTGATTTGTTCAATTAGTCAGGCGTCATAAATCAGAAATTGGGAAACAACAAATGGACAGAGAGAACGATTATAATCCATGTCTCAGTCCATATGATATCTAGAATGGAGGAATATATTATCCATTATCTAATGGACAAGTCATTTGACTAGGTCAGAGTTCGGCAGCGGCTTTAAGAGCTACGATTTCTAGTCGGGATCTTGGAGTCATATGCAATAATAGTTTTAGACTTATCCAAGTGGGAGACTGTTGGATTAGATGTCTAAGCCCATAACTATTATTGGTATGTATTCGACCCGAGAGTAGCATGGTCCATTTGGGTTGCACTTTACCGGAACATTTGTATGGATAGTCTTTTGAGAATAGTATGTCTATGGTTTATTAATATATTATGATTTGTAATATATTAATATGAAATCATATTATTTAATTAGTATTGATCAAGAATTAAGTTAGAATTAATTTAGTGACCAAAAGGAACTAATTGAATATGGACTCTTATATATATAGCATGGGCCAAGTTCATTTAGGTTGGGCTAAGCTTGCATGGATAGTCCATTGAGTTTTTAACCCATGGATCCTATGGAAATGAAAGGTCATGGGTATTAGGGTTTACATGAATGTAACCCTAATCCTCCATACTATATAAAGAGGTCTTTGGCACATAAAATGACACAAGTGTGTGAGTATACAAGAGTGGGCCGATTTCTAGTGTGGTTACTATTCTCTCAAGCTTTCCAAGGTGTTTTTGGTGATTTGTGATTCCACTTGAGGCTTCCACACTATTGGGGCTAAGATCTTAAAGTTCAAGACTTCAAGCTCCATCAAAAGGTATGTCATCTAACTAGACTTTTGCAGTATAGTTGCTTCATATTATGCTAGTTAGGATTAAAACCTTGGAATATCAAATATTTGCATGTATAATAGAGAAAACATAGATCCAAGGTTTTAGGGTTGCATGTACACCATAGGAGTGTTAGAATGCTCAAAACCCATCAATACACACAGATGTGTGTGGACCCTTCAGATCATCCACAAGGGATGCTAATCGATTCTATGTGACTTTTACTGATGATTATAGCAGATATGGTTACATCTACTTAGTCAAGCATAAGTCAGAAACCTTTGAAAAGTTCAAAGAGTTTAAGCAAGAAGTCGAGAATCAATTGGGCCGAAAGAGAAAGATGTTTAGATCCGATAGAGGTGGAGAGTATCTTAGTATCGAGTTCCACGAATACCTCAAGGAATGTGGAAAGGTTTCACAATTGACACCTCCTAGTACAACACAACTTAATGGTGTGGATGAGAGGTGCAATCGAACCTTGTTAGACATGGTTCATTCCATGATTAGTCGAGTTTCTCTTCCAATTTCTCTCTGGGGGTATGCCTTAGAGATTTCCACCCGTATTCTTAATCTTTTCACTACAAGAAAATAGCCCTTTAATGACACGCAAACAATCACACGCACTGATTTACGATACACATTTTTTGCGCGTTCTAAAAATAATGCCAGTTTTCTAAAATTTGAAGGATAGACGACACACATTTTTGTGTGCCCTAAAATTAGTGTCCAACAAAAAAAAAACACGGAGTGCACCTATCATAAAAAGCATGTCGTGTAAAGGTGTTGTTTTATATTTGTTTAGTACGGCGTACGTTCTCCGTTATTTTAATAGTGGGAAATGAAATCCCAAAAAATTAAACACCCCCGCCTGATTGCGTCTCCTTCTTCTCCTTCTAAAATCCTCCACCAAAGAACCCTAATAGAGTTGTGAGGTTGTCAATCCTTCTTCCAGGTTAAATAATTTCTCCCCAATTCCTCTTCACCTTCTTCGTACACTTCGTCCCCCCTAAATTTTGTTAATTCTCCGAGCTAACCTTCTTCCTACACTGTGACAACCCGACACTTTCTAGTCAACAAAATTCAATTTCCGTTGAATAAAATTTCAAATTTTATTTATTCCGTTAAGTTCTTGTGGGTTAGAAAATAATCTAAAATATATAATTAGAGGTTATATAAGTTTTCGTAACCAAAAACACTCAAAAAATCAGGGAACTCGTTTTCAGCCGGACGTTTACGGCCGTAAACCCCTCGGCCGTAAACCCGTGGGTCGTAAACCCCTGGGCCGTAAACCCGTTTACCGCCGAGAATCCATCTCCGGCCGCAAACCCAACCGGTATAAAGGTTTTTTCCGGAGAGATTCTTCATTTTTCATCTTTTTCACCCAAAAACGCTCTCATTTTGCTCCCAATAATCTCCCAAAAACATTCATATGCTGAAGAACAAATTTGTTTACGGGATTTCAATTCTTCAAATAGTTTTATTTTCATTAATAGAACTATCATACACTACAACTGGAGGATTCTAGGGAATTCAAATACATGGTTTTATTTTAAGTAATAAAACTACTATACATACTGGTGGTAGCCAGGATTTTCATACAAAACATACTATACATACTGGTGGTAGCCAGGGTTTTCATACAGAACATACTATACATACTGGTGGTAGCCAGGGTTTTCATAAAGAACATACTATACATACTGGTAGTAGCCAGTGTTTTCATACAGAGCATACTAGACATACTGGTGGTAGCCAGAGTTTTCATACAGAACATACTATACATACTGGTGGTAGCCAGGGTTTTCATACAGAAAATACCATACAAAGGTTTTCGTACAGAACACACTATACAATATAACTGGTGGTAACCAGGCATACAAACTAACATTTTCATATACTACAACCGGATACAGTAACAAACGTACATTTTGGTCTTCGGGTTTAAGACTACTTTTCATTACTAAAGAAAATATTGGATTTTCTTGAGAACATGCAAACATTTTACAGATTCACATACATGTTTCATTACAAAAACATACTTATGAACTCACCAGCTTAAATGTTGATACTCTTTCAAACCGCTTGTATTCTCAGGAACTGGTAGACAGGTACACCCGTAGGTTTTTGAGAAGACGGAGCCTTTAGAGTCGCGACTTTTATACTTTTGATCATACATTTTGTTGTTATGCAAATTATGTATCGAACAAATGTAAATATTCTACTTATTCAATGTTATGGTTGTGTTTACTTTGATTACTATGATGCAATTGTTGTGATACTGTACATGACGTCCTCCACCGCCGATCGTTTCCGCCATTCCGGTTTGGGGGTGTGACATACACTTCGTCCCCCCAAAGGTCGTATTATATCACATACATACTCTCTCTTTCCTCACTATTTTAGGTCACCACTCACCAACAGCCTCAATATTCTAAGACTTAAAATCGAATGTTCATTTGACCATAAAGTCAAAATTGAATCGAATGTTCATTCGACACAAAGTCATTGATACGGCCGATGACGCCTCCGCCTCCGGTCTCTAGTCAACGACACCGACGAAGCCTCCTCCTCCGGCCTCCAGCCGCTTCCGCATCCCCCTTCTTCCACGTTGTTTACAGGTACGATCCATAGCTTTGTTAACTTCTTATTCGGAATTTCAGGTATTTGGCGATTACATGCAGAGATTAAGCCCTATCGCATCAGCCATGAGACATTTCTCGTCTACAACCACAGATGTAATATGGATTCTTCTATGGATTCTTCTGATTTTACATATCAATAATATTGAACCAAAAGGGGATTTAAACACTAGTAGACCTTTTCATAGTGCTGAAATTAGGTTTTAGAAAAAAAAACACCTACATCTAGCTTCTAATGTTTAAATTGTTTTTGTGTAGGTGTGGTAACATCAACTGAGCAAAGCGTTTGACATGCAACATCTATAACAAAAACAAATCACGTGTTAGTGAAGGCAGTGTGATGTATTTTCATGGCTGCTCTTTCCTTTAATTTTTAATTTATATATATTTTTTCACGAAAACCATTTATGGAAATTATATGATGTTTGCAGAGGAGGAGGTGTTTTTGGGTACAAAGAACTTGATGAAGAAGATCTAAAAGAAACAAAATGGTGCATGAGGGAAGCCTAAGAAGTAAAATCAGATCAATTTCCTTAAATTTACACTAATTAATTAACATTTACGGATTATATATATATATATATATATATATATATATATATATATATATATATATATATATATATCCAAATGCAGGAGGCTGAAGTTGGTCAGGTGTTGCCCGGAACCGGATACTGTGAAGCAACGGCAACAAATGATGGGGGTTTCAGGAAGTCGGTAAAAGACAAAGGAGAGGTTGAGTAGTCTGATGAAGAATAACATTAATTAGTGGTAAGGAGTTTGTTGACATGTTTTTTCTTTGAAATTCGAGCCTAATTCTCTTTGATATGTCTTTTTTTTTTATCTATTTTTGAATTAAATACTTATAACCATGAATAATCTATGTAGATTTGTTGTACTAGCTTTTGACAAAATTAAGTTGCACAGTGATTTCTAGATATGTGGTTAGCTATGTTGAGACTTGAGATTGTTTCTAATTAATATTAGGCTCTAAAAATTTCAAGCAATTGATCTTTTTTACTACCACGATAGTCATCGGATTTGGTCATTTTATTTACTTTCTTGAAACTGATACCATCACATTTACTTGTGGACTTTGCCTTATGTCTCCAATCTTCGTGTAACAACAATGCACGAGGGAGTCTACTATTATTGAAAAATTAGATCTTTAAGATGATGGTAAAAAATATGTTCACAGTGGAAACTGTAGCTCTATCTCACCTATTTATAATAAAATAATTACCATTTTCAATTTTAAGCTTGAATAAATGACTTCTAATAAATCAATGTTTCTTTCACAGGGTGCCAAATTGGAGTGGTCTTTGGGCAAGAATTGTTATCCAGACCTTGTTTCCTCATTGACGTTGGATCAAGAACAAAATCAAATTCAGGTTAGATTGAATTCTGGAAAGGGCCATTCCAGTGTTTCCGGAATTGGTTTGTGCGTCATGGTTGTTTCGTTGAGCTCCCAGATCAGCAGTCTCATATGTTCAAGGTCATACATAACAAGGTGAGATATAATATTACATTACTAAATATACCTTTTATATTGTGTATGGTTCTAATGCTCTTGTTTTGTTGCATCTGTAGAGAGGTTTTAAGCAACAATGGCTATCAATTACATTCTCCAAGGCAATATTTCTTGGGAATGGACTAGTTGCCATTTTAGCTGGTTTATTTGGAAATCTTTTAGTTGGTTCATTGGCCATAGGACTTGTTGCTCCATTTGATGCAACTTCAATCTTTCTTGCCATTGGCATGGCCATCACTATGTCATCATGGACAGAAAATTATGGTGATTCATCAGAAAGAAAAGATCTAATGACCCAATTTAGGGGTGTTGTTGTTGCAATTGCATCGGATGTGGATATTCCTCATATTTTTCTTACACGTAGGTATATAATAGAATCATGCACTTAGTTGATTATTTCTTATTAGGGCTGGTAGCATTTGAATCATTTCTTTTTGATCTTGTAGGCTATGATCATTGTTGCATGGCATTGAGAGGGGGAAACTGGAAAAAGGGTGGCATTTCAAGTGCTAATACATTTGGAGGTTCTTCTGGATTTGGATTAACCTTTGATGTGGACTCCTTCTTAAGCAAATCTAAAGGTTGGGAACCGTTCATATCAACCAATCAGATATAAAATTATTTTTTGGTTATTTACCTTTTTCCCCTTTCAGGTTGTCCAGCTACTTCAGTTGCTACTCCAGCTAAAGGCATGGGAATGAAACCAGGAAAATCACAAAGAAACAGCAAGCTCATTTACCAGTTCTTGGTACTTTCATTTTTCAGCTTATACATCTTGATAAAAACTGTTCAATGCAAGAAACCACAACATACTTTCGTTCATGGAGGTTATTTTTATAGGTTAATAACAGGTGATATATTGTTTAGAGTGATTATATTCAGTAAGAAGATTTGTACGAAACTTTTTACTATTTATATCTACAGGAAGACTGAAGTATTGTTCTGTGATCAGGTTTTGACTCATCATGTGAGGTCAATGTGTATGCTTTCATTGATATATTCTGAGATCTTGAAGATGCTTCGTATGTGGGGTCTTGTGAATTTTGATGTTGAAATATCTTCACCAAATGATTCTTATGGTTCTCCTAGAGGCTATCTCAAACAGAGAAGTACAGAGTCTGATCATCAACATATCATGACAACTAAATCACTGTTACTGAAGGTGGTTTCTGTCTTTTTTGTTGAGATATTCATTTGCAGGGTCATCTACTAATTTTCAGCTCTTTCTAATGTTAGTAACCATGTATATCAATGGTATAATATAGTGTATGGAACTCTTGACTTTTTCACTTTTTTTTTAAACTTATTTATCATTTTGGTTAAGTAGAAGAAAATCTATAAAAATATTTTTGAATTTATGCATATTAGAGTATTAGTACAGTAGTCTTTTTGTTAATTTGGGAAGTCAGCCATACTATATCTATTATTCATATAAGTTATTAAACTTTTATGCAGATTTTGAGAGACTTGAAGCAGGCTTTTTGGCCTTTTCTAGTTGACCAAAGTCAAAGCCCATTTCTAAGAGCAGCAAAGGCTACTAGTTGCTCTGATAGATCCGCATATATTGAAAAAATGTCCCTTTTAACTCCTGTTACTCTTTCTCTTAGATAATAGATGAACAAATATTTCATCATGAATCCTCAACTATGTTTTTATATTTATTTATTTGTTTTGGGTGTATTTACATTTTACAGTGGATTGGAGGTCTCTAAAGAGCTGAAAAATCTTACATGCTTCTTGTTTTATTTTGAATTTTGCGGATTTTTACAGCCAAAACTCTATGTTGGAAGACGCATTTCTTTATTATTAAATATCATTGGAAATATATTCTTTAAATTGTTTTTTGTTATTTTTCTTTTTATAGGATCATACATACTATATCACATCTGTTAGTATATATATATATATATATATATATATATATATATATATATATATATATGAATTCTGATATACTTCTAAATGTCGTTGATTGTGTGATTAATAAAAACTTTTTTGTTTCAGCTAATGTTCAGGTTATTACTTGCCATCCACGCTCGGTGGACAACAGCCAATTTTTTAACATGGAGGATTTTTTTTGACATCATATATGAAACAAGAAGGTGTCCCTTAATAGCAATGTATTATTAGATTATATAGTTAAGGAAAACATCTTACTAACAATGTACAATTAGATCCCCTTAATATCAATGTATTACAATTTTTCGATATGATATTATTGGATGAAATTAATTGTTTTGGTATATATTTGTTTCCATATTTTTTGGATTATGCATAAATGAGTATCGTAAAGGTACGTCGTAAATGCATATCGTAAATGGTTGTTGAAGTTTATGACACACAAATGCGTGTCATCTTCATTTATGATAGGGGCTTTAATGATACACAATGCGTGTCCTAAACGCGCGTCATAAGGTTACGACACGCAAATGCGTGTCGTCTTCCTTTATGACAGAGCCTTCCTTGACATGCAATGCGTGTCATAAATGAGCGTCGTAAATGCGCGTCGTAAGTTTACGACACGCAAAAGCATGTTGTCTTCCTTTATGACAGGGCCTTCCTTGACACACATTTGCGTGTCATCTGTGGCTTTTTCGACACGCAATGTGTGTCATTAAAGGGTATTTTTGTGGTAGTGTTTCCCAACTAAGAAGGTTGCCAAAACAGCTCACGAGATGTGGACGATGAAGGTTCCCTCGTTAGCACATATCAAGATTGGGGTTCTGAAGTTTTCGTTAGACAAGAAACTTACGAAAAGCTTGAACCTCGAAGTGAGAGATGTATTTTCATCGGCTACCCACAAAAGTCCTTTGTAGCACGAAGATGAGTCTTTCGCGAGGGAGAGCTCATATGCAAAGAGGATACTGACAGTACCATTGACCTTGAAGAGATTCAAGAATTAAACGATGAAGGAACCTCTAAAGACGCTAGGGTTCAACCAGAGTAAGAGACTGTAGTTGACCCAGTTGACGATTCATTGCCTCTTCGTCGCTCTAGTAGGGTTATAATGCCACCTGAGTTCTATGGCTTCCATATAACTACAGATGGTGATACGTTTATCAGTGATAGTACACTGCTAAATTTGGATGAACAAGCTAACTACAAGGAAGCAATGGCAGGTCCTGCGGCGGCCAAATGGAAAGAGGCAATGGACAATGAGATCAAGTCCATGTATGACAACCAAGTTTGGAATTTGGTTGATCAAAAATCTAGTCGAAAGACAATTGGTTGCAAATGGATTTTCAAGAAGAAGACTGACATGGATGGTAATGTACATAAATTCAAAGCATGACTGGTTGCAAAAGGGATTTACTCAAACCCCAGGGATTGACAGGATGAAACCTTCTCACCGGTGGCTAAGACAAAATCTATTAGGATATTGCTATCCATAGCTGCCTATCATGACTATGAAATTTTGTAGATGGATGTCAAAACCGCTTTCCTTAATGGCAAGTTGGCTGAGGATGTTTACATGAGTCATCCAGATGGTTTTGTTGATGCAAAGTTTCCAGATAGAGTGTCTAAGCTTCAGAAATCGTTCTATGGATTAAAACAAGCATCTTGCATATGGAATCTTTGTTTCGACGAGAAAGTCAAGGAGTTTGGTTTCTCTAGAAGTGAAGATGACTCCTGTGTATATGTCAAAGCTAGTGAGAGTGTAGTAACCTTCCTAGTATTGTATGTTGATGACATACTTCTTATAGGAAATGACATTCCAACTTTGCAAGAGGTTAAGTCTTGGCTTGGAAAGTGTTTCGCTATGAAGGAACTAGGTGAGGATACATATATTATGGGGATAGGGATTCTAAGGGACATGAGTAAAATACTAATAGAACTTAGTCAAGGTACATACTTAGAAAACATGCTAAAAACGTTTTAGTATGGAGAATTTCAATAAAGGAGAATTGACCATCCAGAGTAATATCAAAATGAGTGAGACTCAGAGTCCGAGTACCAATGCAGAGATAGCAGAAATGAGTAGGATTCCATATGCTTCCGCCGCTGGATCGATCATGTATGCTATGACCTGTACTTGCCCTGATGTATCCTTTGCTTTGAGCATGGTCAGTCGTTATCAGGGAAATCCAGGTAAAGCTCATTGGATAGCAGTTAAGAATATATCAACTAAAAATCATATTATTTAACTAATAATTAACCAAAAATTAATGTGTTATGAAATAATATATCAACTAGAAATCATATTATTTAACTAATAATTAACCAAAAATTAATTGGAATTAATTTTGGGAGTAATTGGATTAATTAAAAGTACAGGGACTGTTTTGTTATTTATTAATAGTTGAGAAAGGAAGGCTATAGAACCCCTTGGAGGAGATTGACAAACATCACTAGGGAATCCCTTGGAGATTTCGTCCAAGGCCTCTTGGTCAAGGGGTTATGGACTGCTTGCTCACCAAGCAAAGGATTTAAGGGATTTCCCTTTAACCCTAGCTTTGGCACCAAGTTTCCTCAACTATATAAGGAGCCGCCTAGACCCTTATTTTCATGACTTGTTCTTTGGTAAAGGCTTGGACGATTCTTCCCTCCTCTCTCCTAATTCATTCTCTCGCTAGCTTTGGTGTGATTCTACTAGAGGCATGACATTTGTGGTGCTCGCTTCGAAGAGATCTACAAGAAAGGAATGTAAATACATAGGGTTTGTAGGTTTCTTTTTGATGTTCTTAGTTATAGGTTCAATCGAGAAAACATAGATCCTATTTAGGTTGCATGCAAACTTAATATATTTAATTTCTGTTTGTTTACCTAAATTCCATTAGATTCAAACCTGCTTCCCTGTGCTATCCATTTGTGCAACCAGTAGTGGAAATATTATTTGCTTAAATCGTGCACAACAGCAGTTTAACATATTGATGCCATTGTCGGTGACACAGTGCTTCTAATAGTTTGTATGCCATGAACTTTTCGTACATGTAAACCTCTAGTTTTTGATCCAGAAATTGAAAGAACTGCAAAAAAATGAAGAAAGAAGCAACGAAGAAAAAACAATCAACTTTTTTCTGTTAAGGTTTGACATCCATGGAGAGGCACCTGATAAACGCTTCAAGTGGCAGATCTCTAGGCGATATAAAACCAATAGAAATCCGGGAGTTGATCGAGAAGTTGGCTATATAATCAAAGCATTCAACAATTAAATACAAATGGTATACAAATCATCCTGGAGGAGTAAAAGAAATCAGCAATTCTCACCTTGAGACCTAGGTTTCTTATCTCACGAAAGCAATGTTGCTGCTGACGAAAGAAAAAGCAGTTGCGAAGAAGCAGTGTGGGATATGCTTGATGATTGACCGTCCCACTGATATGTGCCCATTATTACAAGAGGATACAACTTTAGTAAAACCTGTCGAAGGTTATCAACAAACTTATCAAAACAATTTTTAGCAATGACAAAATTATCAGAATCCACCTGGATTTCAGCAGTAACAAAATTTTCCACCATCGGGTTTTCAACAGTCGAATTTTTAGCAAAGTTATTAGCAGAAGCAATTTCAAAACCATCCACCAAATCAGTAAGCCAGTAGTTCTAGCATGACCTTGGAAGATATAGTTAAGAGCCTTGCTACTAACACTCATGCATTTCATAATGAAACAGAGCAAGTATAAAGAATCTGGAGCAGCAAATGTCTCTGGTTGCCACTTCGATGAGTCGACTGGAGTCTCAAGGAAAACTACATGCACAAACTGAACACAATCTGAAGAATAATGTGAGCACAATTTCCTTGAGAAGCGGGAAGAATTATGAAGGCCTAAGCAGATCTGAACCTAACGGAGAAGAAACTGAAAAAGAATATGAAGAGGTGGTGACTGAAAATGTGAAAGAAAAGCAACTCCTAAGCATCCCAAGCAAGTTTTGATGGAATACAAGCCCTTGCCACCATTCCCATCCCGACTGGAGAGTACGAAGAGCGACCGTGAGGATGACGACATCATGGAAATCTTTCATAAGGCAGAGGTAACTCTTCCACTTTTAGATGTTATAAAATACATCCCTTGTTATGCCAAATCTTTTAAGGAATTATGTGTTTAAAAGAAAAAATTGAAAACTAACAAAACATTAAATGCTAGTGAAAATATTTTAGCTATTTTGCAAAAGGGTGTACCTCCAAAGTGCAAGTATCCGAGAGTTTTCTCGATTCATTTTTAAATTGTGTGACCTTAATTTTAGATAAGTTGTGCTTCACCTAGGAGCTTCAGTCAATGTCCTTCCCTTTTCTGCTTTTGAAAAATTAAAATTGGGAACTTTAAAAAAGACTGGGACTATTATCTACTTGGCTGACCACTCGACAGTACACCCAAAAGGTGTACTAGAGGATGTTCTTGTCCAAGTGAATGATTTGATCTTTCCCAATTATTTTTATACGTTGGAAAAGGGCAATTTGGAAATATCAGATACAAACACTATTATTTTAGGCAGGCCATTCATGAAGACTACAAAAATGAAAATAGATGTATTTAATGGCAAAATTTCAATGGATTTTGACGATGAAGTGGTTAATTTTACAATGAATGATGATGATTTTCCAACTGATAATTTTTTTGTTAATTTTTTGGGTACCAAAAATCCTTTTTCTAAGGATTTCTTCGAGTTTTCTAATGTTTATGTGCAAGAGATATTTGTTGACAAGAAATTATCTGGGACATCAAAAGAGCTGAAAGAGGGAAAGCTTGAGAAAGGAGAAGAGAAAATAGTTGCTGAAAAGAAATAGACAGAAGGAGATGGGGAGGAAGAAAAGAATATTTTTGGAAAGAGGATTAAAGAGAAAGTGAAGGTTTCTACTGAGAAGAATCGAAAAAGAAAAAA